TTCAGTGGGTAGCTCCTTGGAGGGTGATCAATATCATAAGGAGTGGCTTTTTCTAAACTGAAATACACTGATAATTAGTAAGAAGATGTAAGATCATATAGTATTCAAAGTGCTAGTACAGGTAAAAGAATACAAAGCCCAGGGTAGCTATTAAAGGAACTTATTATAATTTCATGTAAGTGAGATGGGAAAAAATTGGTGTGATGATCTATGTACAAAGGGTATGTAGAACATTAAACAGACAAGACTAGGTAAGATAATTAGTAAAGCTTTCCTCCCTCTCTATACACACAGAGATACACACAGACACACACACACACACATACAGACACACACACACACAGACACACACAGACTGATACACACACACACACACAGACACACACACAGACACACACATAGACACACACACAGACACACACACACACTCACACACACAGACACACACACACAGACACACACACAGACACACACATAGACACACACACAGACACACAAAGACACAGACACACACACTCACACACACAGACACACACACACACACACTCACACACACAGACACACACACACACACATAATATAAAGGAACTCAAGGGCAGAAATTACTCAATTATCTCATAGACACAGAAAAAGGTTCTGAATGAATTCAGCATTCATTCACTATAAAAGACCTGAAGAGTCTAGGAATAGAGAAAAGTTACCTCAATACAATAAAGGGAATATATGACAAACCTGTACCCCAAATTATACTAAATAGAAAAAATTCTCTCCACTATGTTCATAGCAGCCTTATTTATAATAGCCAGAAGCTGGAAAGAACCCAGATGTCCTTCAACAGAGGAATGGATACAAAAAATGTGGTACATTTACACAATAGAGCATTACTCAGCTATTAAAAACAATGAATTTGAGAAATTCTTAGGTAGATAGATGGAACTAGAAAATATCATCCTGAGTGAGGTAACCCAATCACAAAAGAACATACATGATATTCACTCACTGATAATTGGATATTAGTCCAGAAGCTTGACATGCCCAAGATTCAACTCACAGACCACATGAAGCTCATGAAGAAGGGAGACCAAGTGAGGGCACTTCCATCTTTCTTAGGAGGAGTAGCAAAGTACTCAAGGGAGCAAATATGGAGACAAAGTGTGGGACAGAAACTGAAGGAGGGACCATTCTGGAGATCATTGCACCTGGGTATCCATCCCTCGTGCAGTCACCAAAGGTAGACGCTGATCAGGAAGTGCATGGTGACAGGAGCCTGATATAGCTGTGTTCTTAGAGGTCTGCCAGAGTTTGACATATTCAGAGGTAGATGCTCACAGGTAACCATTAAACTGATCAACGGTTTCCCAATGGAGGAGTTAGAGTGAAGACTGAAGGAGCTGAAAGGGTTTGTGACCCCATGAGGAGAGCAGCAATATCATCCAACCAGAGCCCGTAGGGTCTAAACCTCCAGCCTGAGAGCACTTAGGGGGGAATCCATGGCTCCAGCTGTATATTTAAGGAAGAATGGCCATGTTGGGCATAGGTGGGAGAGGAGATCCTTGGTCCCATGAAGGCTGGACTCCGTGTATGCAGAAATTCCAGGGTGGGGAGGTGGCAGTGGGGGGGGGGGGGGGTAGGTAGAGGTACATCTGCAGAGAAGCAGGAGGAGGGACAATGGGATAGGGGTTTCCAGGGCAGGGTGAGGGGATGGGGTAAGGGGATAACATCTGAAATGTAAATAAAATATCCAATAAAAAATCAAAGAAAAGAAAAATTCTCAAAGCATTTATACTAAAAAATAATCACAAAAAATAATAGTACCTAATTTTTCTTCTTTTGTTCAATATAGTGCTTGAACTCTTAGTTACAAGAGTAAGACATGAGAAATAAAGAAGAGGGATACAAATAAAAATACATCAAAGCATTTTTATTTATAGACAAAAGAATTCTATACATGAGACCCTAAAAATTTCACCAAGAACTTCTTAGATTTGATAAAAACTTTATGAAATGTGTTCAGTTACAAAATTAACATTAACAAATCAGTAGCCTTCTTATATAGCAATAACAATCACATTAAGAAAGATATTAAGGAAAGAATTCCATTCACAGTTCTTAAAACTTATCCTGGAATACATGTTATCAAGGAATTAAAAGACTTCCACAATAAAAACTTTTAAAGGTCTGAATAAATAAATTGAAGAATACACAGGAAGATGGAAAAGTCTCTCATCTCGTGGATTAGAAGAATTAACACTGTAAAAATTAGTTATTAAAGACAATCAGTAGATTCAACACAATACTCATTATACTTTTAATGCTATGTTTCACAGAAATAGCAAAAGCATCTTAAAATTTGTTTTCAGTACAAAAGATCACAGGTAGCCCAAGATTGTTATAGGACAAAAATAATGCTGGAATTATCAAGTATGGTGATATTTCAAATTACACTATAGGACCATAGTAACAAAACTTCATAGTACTGACATAAGGACATATAGAGCAGTGGAATAGAGGACCAGATACAATGATGCCAAAAATGCATACGGAGAAAAGCCAATTTCTTCTGAGAAAACTGTATAATCACATTCAAAGAATTTAACTAGACTCCCATCTCCCATCCAGCAAGAAAAATCAACTGCAGGTATAACCAAGTCCATAAAATAAGATCTAAAAAGGTAGGGGGAATATTTCAATATGTTAGCATAGGCAAGGGCTTTCTGAATGGAACTTAGTTGCTCAAGAAATAAATCTAATAAGGGACAAATGAGACTTTATGAAATTAAAAACCTTCTATACATAAAAGGAAACAGTGGAATAAAGTATGAGAATGAGTGAAAAATTGGCTAACTATGTATCTGAGAAGATTGATATCTATGATGTATAAAGAACTATGCTAACTCAATAAATGGGATGATGAAATTAATAGACATTTCTCATAAATGGAGATACAAATGGTTTCCAAACATTTGGAAAAAAATCAAATTTGATAGCCATAGAAAAATCACAAATCCAAATCCAAACTACACTGAGATTCTATTTTAACCCAGGGGTAATACAAGTAATTACAAAAAAGGGATCTATTATATCTAGCTATATACTTGTGGACATTTACTCAAAGAACACCAAGCCAACAGCGCAGATACTTGTATATCACTGTCATGGGTCTTCACCATAGATAAATTGCAGAAAAAAACCTACATATCTAAAAATAGAGGAATGGATTAAGAAAATATGGTGTTCATTGAGGATTTTTTCTCCCAAAGAAGCAAGTTATTTTCAGAGAAATAGAAATAACTTAAGATAATTTTATTAGGTAAATTAAGGCAGTTTCACAAAGAAAAGTATGTTTATTCTCTCATGTTTTCATTCCTCAATTTGATATAGACAAATTAAGTTGTATATGTATATATGACATGAAATTCAAAGTGAAACTGTCTGTAGGAACGAATGGAACTAATGATAGCGTAGTGGTAAGGATGAAATAAAGAGAAGAGAAGAAACTACTCTCAACATAAAAATATAATATGAATATAAAATAATGGGCAGGGTGGAGAAAGACAAACACAAAGCCACAGTTTTGTACCTTAAACCTGAATTATTTCAGAAAGAGTATCAAAGTGATCAGCTGAGCAATGAGATACTATTATGGATCCTTCAAGTATGTAAGATTAAGATTGACAGGAATTCATTTCCTCATCTCATGTCTACATCATAATCCAAGCTGGATGCAACATCCGTGAGCTCCACAGAGGAAGGCTAGTGAGGAACAGCTATTTGCTCATCACTAATCACATGATCATGTGAGTGTAGGCAGGGCCTCTCATGCCCAGCCACTGTCTCACAGATTTGGGCAGATCCCAGAATCAGAATAAAAGGGCTGAGGGACAGAGCACCCCCATTCACTCACCTTCTGAGGTGTCCACAGATCTTGTGTACCTGTAACCTTGGTAAGTGTCAATTGGGATTGGGAACACGGCCTATACTACAGGGAAGCTAAGAGGAGATCCGGCAAGTGGAAAAGAGCTGGGTAAAGCTGCAGAGTTCAGAGCCATGTTAGCGAAGCAGAGAGCAACAAGGGACAATGAAGGCTGGGTCGGAGTGGTAGAGTCAAAGGGACTCTAAAATTCCTGGGAGCTATTAGAAGGAATTGAGTACCTCTGGCTTATGAATCCAGAGTGGATATTCTGCCCTCCGATTGAGTGGGCTCTCAGGATGGAAACCTGAAATATGGAAAGCTGTAGACCTTAAATAGGCTTCAGGAGGGGTAGCTCCCTCTTGTAATGTCTCCCTGGGACAGCCTGGAAAGCAAGACTAACAGTGAGAGCAGGGCACCAAGGTATCTTTGGGCTTGGAAAAAACAGAGCCATAGATCTGGAATTTGATCACAGGCTGCTCAGAATTTTGACACCAAGCACAAGAATTATTATGTCAAACACCAGTCAACATGGGGTGTTGACATAAGTTCAGACTTGTTTGAAACGAGGGACAAGACCTGGCTCATGGCTTCGGGGATGGATAAGTTAGGTCTTTTATTAAATGGAGTTGGAACATCAATCAATAATCTTTATTTCCTTCTCTTATGCCTTTATCCTCATCAGTTTGGGAAGCTTTAGGGATCCATGGAATGCTCATAAGAATCACTATATGATACACAGTAGATGTAGATCAGGCACAGGGGCATTCCAAATGATGGCATTCAGAGAAACTAAGTGGAGGAGGGAAGTATTCTGAATATGTCTCTAGACTATAAAATCTCTCCACTTACAGGAGGATATATTTTTTAAAAGAATGAGAATCTATTTTTTCCTGTCAAAGTTTGCAAGACAACTTGACACTATAGGTCAGAATAGCAGAAGGCTTTGGGGTTTGTTAGAAATAAAACTACAGAATATGGACTTTCTATGACTATCAGTTATGTCTAGAGGTGGATAGGATGGCTCCAGGATCCTGGCTCTAACTTGCATTGCAATTCTTCCACAGCCCCAGAACACTCACGAGCTGAGATGTCCTGCCAGCAGAACCAGCAGCAGTGCCAGCCTCCTCCAAAGTGCCCTCCCAAGTGCCAGACTCCAAAGTGCCCTCCCAAGTGCCCCCCAAAATGTCCTCCCAAGTGCCCCCCTGTGTCTTCCTGCTGTAGTCTGGGTTCTGGGGGTTGCTGTGGCTCCAGCTCTGGTGGCTGCTGCAGCTCTGGTGGCTGCTGCAGCTCTGGGGGTGGAGGCTGCTGCCTGAGCCACCACAGACCTCGCAGATCTTTCCGTCGCCATCGCCACAGCTCTGGATGCTGCAGCAGTGGTGGCAGCAGTGGCTGCTGTGGTAGCAGTGGTGGCAGCGGTGGCTGTTGTGGCAGCAGTGGTGGCAGCAGTGGCTGCTGTGGCAGTAGCCAGCAATCTGGAGACTGCTGCTGATCTGAACAACAAACACTTTAGACAAGCCATTCTGGAGGAAGCCATGTTCAGAGGAACTTCCCTGGCCCGTTCTTCTCTCCTGCTGCCCTCTGTGTCCTGGGCTCTAAGATGTTGTAATCTTGTGAGGTGTTTTGAATATCCCCTTTTGAAGGGTCTGTCTTCTTGGGGACAAAATAATAAAGTGCTTCCATAACAACCTTCTCTAGACTCTTGATCATTTGACTATAAGCATCTTACAGATCAGCTTTGCCAATCAAGGCTCAGTTGGTTTAAAGATGACTCAGAAGCCTGGGGCTGTGTGGAACAGTAGGAGATTAACTCACAGGGTGTGGACAGTGGCTGCTTAGTCAACTTTACTGCATACAGTGAGGGTCAGTCTATCCCATATGTTGCTCATTGATGTTACTGTTCATTTATGGATATACATCTATTATTTTCTGGGCTGATATCTTTTACTCTGTTATGTCCAGCATCATAGTTACAGCTCTGAATGTTGTAGCTGTGGTAGCAGCAATGGCTGCTATAGCAGCAGAGGTGGTATCAGCTGTGTTGGTAGTCAGCAGTCTGGGGCTGCTGCCTACCTTTGCCATGAGGACATCAGATAAGCAATAGGGAAAGAAGACTGATTGTTCTTTTCTCCTCCTGTTCTGGGCTCTGGGATGCTGAAATCATGTGGAAAATTCTGAATCCCAACCCTACCTACAGAAGGGACACTCATTTTCTTTATTACAGAATAGTAAAGTCTTTCCTGCTGATATTCTCCAGACTCTATTATTTTGACCATCATCATACCTATGTGTCAGTGGTGGTAGTTTTTATTCTATAATACTCTGAGTATCTGAAGCTTGTGTTAGGAATGTGGTTCAGATAGCCAGTCATGTAATAGGGTATTGTGACCACATAGATCAAAGAGCAGTCTACCACATCTGTTGCCTATTGTTATTATCCTCCTCAAGATACAGATACATATTCTCTATCATTATATACTTTGCTCTATTGTGGTCCTTATTACTGTCGTAGAATTTCTAATAACTGACACAATGCATGGCTTTAGCACTGACTGGAACACCTCCCTAAATGAAAATTCAATCTCTCTCAATACATTGTGATTCTCAATTTTTTATGTAAAAATATCTGGAAAGGTATCATTTTGTTCATTGTCTTGTTATTGCCTTAAATTTAAGTCTTTTACATTGTGGAGACAAGACAAACAATGTTTATCAGATTCCAATATACTGAAAACATTCTAAAATCCAGATGTAAGTCAACTTGATGAATAGACCTCTATTTGACATCATATCCAGAAAAATTCTTGACCACATGACCTCAAGTCAGTGAAATCTGCTCCTGAGTAGATTCACCTCAGTGAGGCAGGACATTATTATCCTATCTAGTTGCTTTTGTAACTACCTAAGGAGGAAGCAAGTGACAACTAGGCATCACTGGGACAGATCTCTTTGGGGTGTTGCACATTTCTGCCAAATGAGGGCATGACACTGGGTAGTCTGAGACATATGGAAAAGAAATAATACTCTATAGTGCTGCGGAAAAGTAGACTATGCACATCACAGTAAAGTCTACATGTACCTCTAGGATGATTAAGTATGATGGTGATAATGATGGTGATGATGGTGGTGGTGGTGATGATGATGATGATATCTTTCAGCATGGAAAACTGTGCATGAAACCATTTGATCAGTATTAAACTAGCTAACTTAATACTCTGGAAATTCATGAGTGAGAATTATTAAAAATCCATATTTTATATTTGAAGAATCTGAGTGAGAAAAGCTAAGGAATCTTTACTAACATATGTGTTACTAGAACTATGGTGGTATCTGAGGATGTCTGGCTCCAGAGCTGCAAACCTGACATCTAGAACAATTTTCCAACTCAAGGTATCTTAAAAAGAAGACTTTGGGGATTCCTATTTCCTATAATTTATATCTAATGAACATGCCACATTTGATAAACATACATACACACACACATACACATACACACACATACACACACACACACAAACACACAGAGAGAGAGAGATAGATAGATAGATAGATAGATAGGTAGATAGATGATAGGTAGATAGATAGATGATCCCTCTGAGTGTGGGGCAGTGGGCTATGAGAAAGCCAGAAAGCTTGGTAGAAATCTTTGAAGCCCCGGAAACCTCGGCCTGAAAAGGGTCACAGGACGGAAGGTTGCTTCAGATTTCCCACGCCAGTGGCCCTCTTAGCTTCCACTTCCCATAAAGAGACCCGTGACCCTTATCACGTAGGATAGCACCTCCATGCAAATAAGGCATCCTCAAACACCCAAGCCAAACCAATAGGGGCTACCTTTTCTTTCCCCGAAACTGTATATATATAATTCCAGAGCTCAAATTAAACTACTACTGCTGTGCGGTGCAAGGTCTCCTGCTGTCCGAGTGCTTTCGCGATCCCTCGCCAGTCGCCAGTCATGCACTTCAAAGGACAACACTCTCCCCTCTCCTCAGCGGGAAGAGCGAGCTGAACTGAAGGGGCTGAAAACACTTTTCTTCTGTGGGCTCTCACGAGCGGCCCCCGGAAGAAGAGAACTAAAAGAGCTGACAACACTTTCTCGCTTTTGGGGACTGGGACGGAGGTCCCGCTCCAGTTTTCGGGCGACCAGAGGCCGCTGTGGAGCGAGCCCCGCCCCGTCGGCTGCTGAAGGCCCTGGGCCAGCTTGGCTGGCTCCTTCTACGCCCCCGACCCCGGAGTCTGCTCGCCCACCCCCGCTGGCCCGGCTTGGAGCTGACACCAGCCGCCGCCAACCCCGGTATCCTGCAGCGGTTCTGTCAGCCCGTGATCCCTAGGCGCGAGCACTGCACGACATCTGAGAACAAGATCGAACATACATAAAAATCTCTAGTACAGTGATTCTCAACCTTTCTAATGCTGTGACACTTTAACATAGTCCCTCATGTTGTGGTGATCAACAACCTTAAAATTATCTTTGTTGCTACTTCATACCTGTAATTGTGTTACTATCATAAATTGTAACGTAAATGTCTCTGCTTTCCAATGGTCTTAGGTGATCCCTGTGAAAGGATCAATAGACCCCCAAAAGGTTTTTGACCCACAGGTTGAGAACCACTAAAGGCATGTATATTTCTTTGTTTGAACCTAGAATCCAGACGATAATAAAGCAAGACTGAAGAAGGAAGATGAGAAAATATGGATACTAAACTCAAATAAGAGACTAAGTGGCAGGCAGCACTGAGAAGATGATGTAATCAATAGTGGGAATAATTATTTCACCATTCTGTTTTCTATTCAATGTTTGGAGCGCCTACTTTGCCCAACCCACCCAGCTGCTATCATGTAGTGGGGCAGAAATTCTAGACATCATGTGTCACGGGAGCCATGAAGATGCAGGGGGTAGTTCTTCTAATACTCAGACCCTGCCTCATATGCTGAGGATAGAGCTCAAAGTCAACATATGTCCTGTTAGTCTAAAGGAACTACGTCTATTTATCTAAGGTACCCTGAGACCTTTTTTTTTTTAACATGCTATCCTAGACACAAGAACCTACCCGGGAGGAGCACTATATTAGTTACTCTTACAGTTTTCATCACATACTTAAGAGAAAACAACTTACGGGAAGAAAAGTCTAAGTCAAGGTGTTAGTCCCACCAGTTGAGAACAAGACCATTACCACATTTAAAACAAAAATTAAAGCAATTAATTAAATACTGGCCAGATTTTTTATTGGATATTTTCTTTATTTATATGTCAAATGTTATCCCCTTTCCCAGTCCCCCCTCCACCAGAAACCCCCATCCAGTCCCCCCTCCCCTGATTCTATGAGGGTGTTCCCCCACCCACCCCCTCCTATCTCCCTTCCCTCGAATTGCCCTACATTTGGGGCATCGAACTTTCACAGGACCAAGGGCCTCTCCACTCATTGATGGCTGACAAGGTCATCCTCTGCTACATATGCAGCTGGAGTCATAGATCCCTCCATGTGTACTCTTTGGTTGGTAGTTTAGTCCCTGGGATCTCTGGAGTGTTTTGTTGGTTGATATTGTTCTTCCTATGGAGTGGCAAACCCCTTCAGCTCCTTCAGTCCTTTCTCTAACTCTACAACTCAAGTTGAGTTGGGGACCCCATGCTCAATCCAAAGGTTGACTCCGAGAATCCACCTCTGTATTTGTCAGGCTCTGGCAGAGCCTCTCAGGAGACAGCTATGTCAGGCTCCTGTCAGAAATACTGGCCAGATTGATGGACTCTCTAACCAGGTCAATCTCTGGGTTCCCAGAAAATGAGCAGGAGTTGTACTTTCAGAGGCTTAATAAGGCAAAACCCACTATTCACTGCATTTCATCAGTTTCAAATAGGAACAAGAATACATTTTGACATATTTCCTGCCCATCTACCTCCTACACATATGATTGTGATTAAACACATCCAGAGCAGATGGGTCAAACAAACATGGGGCAAACAGGAACTTATTCTTAACTGCAAATGGAACTCTTAATCTACAAGATATATTTTTTCTGTTTTTATCTCACAAGGGCTATCTAGAGGAACAGAACTGGTAGAGTTAATATGTAGTATAAAAGAACATTTATCAGATTTTTCTTACCTGTAGGGGTTAGGTAGTCTAACAATGATGATATATAATTCAGATTATGCATTCCTCCAAGAATATTGGATTCTTCACAGATCCTTTAATCAAGTCTCATACAATGCCAGCTTGGTCTATTCCTGGTGTTGCAACTTGTGTCACCTGGTTTATGTGCTGACTCTTAAGTTTCTTTATTGAATGGACACAGTTAATGAAAGGGGTTATATTCTTAGTTTACTCAAATACTTAGCTTTTAGGATTATTAGGTAAAAATGTCCTTGTAATTCTTTGATGATTCTTTTATCAAGTAAGTTTTTCTATGGCATTGCTGATATCATTGAGAGTAATGTGCATGTTATATGTTGAGCCTTGTAAAATATTCATTTATTATGTATATGTATGTGAGTGA